ATATCAATTTGTAATATTGTATATAAGCATTATTAGTAAAATCAATAAAATTATTGGGAACATTTATCCCATCTCACATGGTATCAGCCTAAGAATACCGATCCCTAATTTCTTCTCGCTGCTTCTGCCTCTCGCTACTCTCTCAGCCTCTTGTTATGTCTTCTTCTTTAGAAAATTCATTCTCTCTCAACACCCTTTTTCATATGCTCACTATCAAATTGACATCAAACAATTACCTTTTGTGGCGAAATCAAATCACCCCTCTTCTCAATCATCAGAAATGGATGTCTCCTGTCGATGGCTCTTATGCCATTCCGCCACCCAAAATCCTTGTTGAGGGCAAATAAATCTCGAATCCAGACCATGAAGCTTGGATCGATGCTTACCAGAAGGCGCTCTTAATCCTTCAATCCTCTCTGTCCGAAGAATCAATGGCAGAGGTGTTAGGTCTTTCTTCCCCCCCCTCCCCCCGAGAAGTTTGGACAGCCCTGGAATCCGCATATAGCCATGATTCTCAAGAACAGTCACAAAACCTCAAGGATTCTCTGTGCCAACTTACAAAGGGTACCCTTTCTGTCTCTGAATATGCTAAATAGTTCAAATCTATTTGTGATAAACTACAAGCTATTGGGCAATCGGTTCCTGAAATCGATAAAAGCCACTGGTTCTTGTGTGGCTTGGGACCTACCTTTAAAACCCTTTCAACTGCCAATAGGGCCCTTCCTACACGCCCAAGTTTTCGTGCCCTTGTGGCTCAAGCTGAAGTTCACGAGGTGTTTATCTCATCATTACATGAATTGAATCCATCTCCTGTTGCTTTTAATTCCTCTCGTGGGAGAGATCGATCTGGACAGCCTAGTAATCGGGGTGGGTCCTCTTCTCGTGGCAGGGGGAGGTCTGGTTGTCGACCTCCTCATTTTCAGTTATGTCGCCATGATGGTCATTATGCAAGTGCTTGTCCCGATCTCAGAAATTATCTTCAACAATCTCCACATTCGGCTGCCAATCTTGTTCAGGCTTTTAATGCAAATTGCAACATAAATGACTCGCCTCCGGATTGGTGTGTTGATTCCGAAGCAACGTCTCACATGGATCCATCTCCGACAGGTTTTGATTCCTTGGTTCCCTATCATGGCAAAGACAAGGTGGCTTTTGGCAATGGTAATATACTACCCATCTCTTGTATTGGCACTTTTTCGCTTGCCCCAAATTTAAAATTACGAGATGTTCTCATTGTCCCTCATATCAAAAAGAAGGTACTCTCAGTCAGCAAATTAACTAATGACTACCCGATTGATTTTTTATTTTCTCGGTCCTATTTTTCTATTCAGCACACCCTCCACAAAATGATTTTGGCGACAGGCAAGCATAAGGATGGTTTATATGTCTTGGATCCAACATTTCACGCATTGGTGGAATCAGTGATTTCTTCTAATATTGCATCTTTTGATTTATGGCATAAAAGACTTGGTCATGTTGCTTACAACATTATTTCTCTTCTTAATACCAATGGATGTTTACGTGTTACTTCTATTTTTCCAAGTCCTAATTTACGCACATCTTGTCAATTATCCAAGCAACATCGTTTTCCCTTTCAATTAGATGATTAAAGATCCTTGCATGTTCTTGACTTAGTTCAATGTGATTTATGGGGACCGAATCCAATTACATCCGTTGATGGTTACCGCTACTATGCTTTATTTGTTGATGATTACACCCGCTTCTCTTGATTTTATCCTTTAAAACAGAAGTCAGATTTTATGACATTTTGGTAATTTTTTTAATCTTTGTTCAAACTCAATTCACTTGCAAGCTGCAAGTTTTTCAAAGTGTCGGAGGTGCTGAATTCTTAAATCATCGGGTGCGCAAATTGTTTGCTGAAAATGGTACTCACCATCAAATGTTGTGTCCTTATATTCCTCAGCAAAATGGGCGTGTTGAGTGAAAGCATCGTCATCTAACCGAAACCGATCTTGCCATTCTTTTTGGTGCAAATGCACCTGCTCACTTTTGGGTGGATGCTTTCTCTTCTGCCACATATGTTATCAATCGTCTACCCACAAAAATGTTACGACATAAATCTCCGTTTGAAGTTCTCTTCAATGTTCTTCCAAATTTCAACAACTTTAAGGTTTTTGGATGTCGCGTTTTTTCATTTTTACGACCCTATGTGGAACACAAACTTGCTCCCCGCAGTATTGCATGCATCTTTCTAGGTTATTGTACTCAATATAAAGGATACAAGTGTTATGATCCTCTTACTTCCAAATCCTTTATCACCCGCCACGCTAAGTTTGATGAAAACTACTTTCCATTTGCAAGTGATTTTGATTCTGCAAATGATCTTGCATTGTTTTTGAGCTGCTACTCGGATGAATTACCACCTACTCATGCTCCTAAAAGTTCCGCACCAACGACCACTTCACCGGAGACTGCTCCATTATCATCTAAACCGTGCACCTCATGCTTACATGACGACTCATCTTTGGCTTCCGCTATCACCCCGACATCATCATCTACGCCGGTATCTTCTCCGGTTTCGACTCCAGTAGCCTCTCCGGGTCCTTTCCCACCACCTGCACCGCCAACACAATCTCCGCCATCACAGTTGTCGGCCTCGTCGCCACCATCATCACCTCCGGCTGCTCCATCTCCCGGCCACTCTATGTTTACCAGAAGCAAAGCTGGCATTGTTAAACCACACCATATCTTTGATCTTCTTGCTATTTCCCCAACACATTTGCAACGTGCCTTGTTTGCTGCCAAGGAGCCCAAGGGGTTTAAATCAGCCTCTAAACTTGATCATTGGTATCATGATATGTCGGAAGAAATACAGGCCCTTCATGATAATAAAACATGGACTCTTGTCCCACGACCATCACATGCGAATGTTGTTGGTTCTAAATGGGTCTTTCGCACTAAATATCATGCTGATGGGACTATTGATCGTCATAAAGCTCGTCTTGTAACCCAAGGTTTCACTCAAATTTTGGGTTTTGATTTTTCTCATACCTTCAGTCCGGTGGTTAAAGCTACAGCTGTTCGCATTGTCTTATCTTTGGCTGTCACAAATAGGTGGCCTCTTCATCAGCTTGATGTTAAAAATGCTTTTTTAAATGGTGACCTTCATTAAACCGTTTATATGGAGCAACCTCCAGGTTATGTTGATTCTAAAAAACCGACACATGTTTGTCGTCTCAACAAAGCCTTCTATGGCCTTCGTCAAGCCCCAAGAGCTTGGTTTCAACGCCTGAGTTCCTTCTTAGTTTCTCAAGGTTTCAAGTGTAGTCAAGATGATACATCTCTCTTTGTTTTTCATCAAGGATCATGTCTCTTGTACTTCTTGGTTTACGTTGATGACATTATTTTGACTGGCAATCACCCCCTTCCATTACTCGCTTCATCTCTCGCTTAAAGAACGAGTTTGCTATAAAAGATTTGGGTAAATTGAACTATTTTCTTGGGCTTGAGGTTACTTATGACTTTGATGGTTTATTTCTAAAGTAGAGTAAATATGCTCATGATATTTTGAGTCGGACTGGTCTCCTTGATGCGAAACCGATAGGTACACCACTCACTACAAATGACGTTTTCACCTCTACTGACACTCCCTTTCATGATCCTACTCAGTATCGGTCTTTTGTTGGAGCTCTTCAATACTTGACTACCACTAGGCCCAATATTTCCTATGCGGTGAATCAAGCCAGTCAATTTCTTCACTCTCCTACGGACCAACATTGTACCCTTGTCAAACGAATTTTACGATATGTCAAAGGCACAATCAATCATGGTCTTCATTTCTCTGTGCCTACAAAATCTATGCTTATTGGTTATTCCGATGCAGATTGGGCTCGTTGCATTGAGACTAGGCGTTCCACCTGTGGCTACTCTATATTTATTGGAGGAAATCTTGTGTCTTAGAGTGCTAAAAAACAACCTACTGTCTCTAGGTCCAGTTGTGAGAGTATCGGGCTATGACAAATACTGCTGCAGAACTCATCTGGATTACTCATATGTTACGTGATTTAAATGCCTTACCTCCTGCTCGACCGACTTTACTTTGCTCGACCGACTTTACTTTGTGACAACCTTAGTGCTATTTTCTTAAGTCAAAATCCTGTTGCACATAAACGAGCAAAACATATAGATATTGATCATCACTTTATTCGTGAACTTGTGTTGTCTGGTAAGTTGCATACAAAATTTGTTCCAACCAAGCTTCAAGTGGCAGATAATTTCACCAAACCGTTACCTCGACCACTTTTTGAGAGTTTTTGGCAGCAACTCAGAGTTCATCCACCACGAGTGCGCTTGAAGGGGGGGTATTGGAAATAAATCACCTATGTAAATTAGTTTATTTGTTTTCTATATTTACTTATTAGACACCTTGTATATCTCCTTGTAATCCCTATTCTAATAAATGAATAAGTTTAATTTTCTATTGACAAGTGTCACAATATTAGAAATCATCATTAATATTATATGTCATTTATCATGTAACATGTCAACCTATTAATTCTCTATTTAAAATTTTAAATTTTAAATTTCTCACTCTAATCATTTAAATTAATAATTGATTTTTCATTTGAAATTTGAAATTTTAAATTTCACATTCTAATTACATTAAATTAATAACATTAGAATAAAAAATAAAATAAAATTAATATATATTATAAGGTGATATAATTTAATGTATTTATTTAAATCAAACGATTATAATTTTATATAACTAAAAACATATCTCTTAAATAATAATTTATTTGAAATAATTGATTGATAATTTTAAGTTTTTACTATGAAAGTTTAATTAATTTTATAACCATGGTTCTCACGGGTTATAAACTAGTATTGTATATAAGCATGATTAGTAAAATCAATAAAATTATTGGGAACATTTATCCCATCTCACATTAACAAAAGTATACGACTGATCTAAGGTACGACCATAACATAGCAACAGATGATATATAAATAATGAATAAAACTAAAACCAAGAACGATCAGGTTAAAAGAGTCTGATGGAGATGTTTCTTCGTATATTGATTGGGTGACACAATAGTCTCGATGTATTTGCCTCTTAGAGGGATATAAATGCCTATATTCATATTTGGATACACCACGTCTGTAGTTTGCTTGTCCATATCTAGTTGGAGAATGCCACCTCCAATTTTACGTGAATGCATGAGCCAGTTTCCATTCATCATCAAGTGCAGTGGGTATTCATGCCACAGATAAATTGACATCGGGCGATAATTTACCACCTTCGTCCAATCTCCATCTCCATCCATCCTCCACAACTCGATGTTGTCATTAAATACACAGTTTCCTCCCGAAATAGTGACATACAAGTGGATTCGATCTCTGTGAACCATGAAACTCGAACAAGTTGTTAATTGGTATTTGAAAGAAGGAGCTGCAATCGCAGTGAACTTTTCTGTCTTTGTGTCGAACATCAGAATCGCATATGAGTTTCGAATACAGTTTCCATCACATTTTTGTTTTAAGAAATACAATTTTTCATTCAACAAAGCAGTTGGCTCCCAAGTATATGAGAACCAGCGGTAAAGCCGTGGCTCGAAGTTATATGTTTCTTTGACGACCTTTCTCCACGAGTCAGATTTCAACGAGTATATATAAGCACCATGATAGCCGGTGACACGTAGAATCTTGTAGTTATCATCAGAAGAGCTGTAGTACAATCCAAATGGACTTTTAGTCTTCATGTAACATATGGTGTCGGAACCAGCTTTAGACAACGTCTTATACTCACCCATCAAAGGATTCCATAGAATTAGATCAGAGTATTCAGCATCTTCCCGAGAAGACTTAGTTATTCCTACACATAACATTCCATGCAAAGATGTTACAATCGAAAAGGTTTCCCAACTGGCGCCTTCAAATGGCACGAAGCGGGTCGCTGGCGAAGGATCTTTATGTTAGAAGTTGATTCAAAATTTGAATGAGTGTTTGAATGAGTGTGATACTGACCTGGTCTAAGGCAGTAATTTTAGGAGTCATTTAGTTCTTGAATAAGTTTTTTTTTTGCTCTAGTTGTTATGCCTATTCAAGGGTATAAATAGGAAGCTTTGTTTTATGTATTGCTTATCAACGCAGATCAATAAAATCACACTCTTTTTCTGCATACGTATTCCAACATTTTGGTATCAGAGCACATGCTCTTTTTTTTTCCAGAAAAGGAGGGTGATTCGTGAAGAATGGCAAATGCAATGTCGTCCACACAGCAACTGATTCCAGTGTTCAAGGGTGAAGGATATAAATACTGGAGCATAAGGATGACGACCTTACTCAAGTCACAAGATTTGTGGGAGATAGTTAAACATGGCTACCTAACTGAAGATGAAGATGACATACTCAGAGAAAATAAAAAAAAAGACGCAAAGGCTCTAGCGATCATTCAACAAGCTGTTCATGATAGTATGTTTTCAAGAATTGCAGCAGCAAGCACATCCAAAGAAGCATGGACAGTGCTAAAAGAAGAATTTCATGGTGATGCCAAAGTTGCAGTAATTAGGCTTCAATCCTTACGACGGGATTTCGAAAATCTGGCTATGAGGGAAGATGAATCCATTGGAGATTTCCTGTCAAAATGCATGGACATTGTAAGCAAGATGAGGTCCTACGGAGACACGATAAACGATCAGACTATAGTGGAGAAAGTATTGAGAAGTTTGCCCGAGAAATTTGATCATGTGGTTGCATCGATTGAGGAATCAAAAGATCTTGCTGAACTCACATTTAACCAACTCATGGGGTCGTTACAGTCACATGAGGCCAGGATCATCAGAAGAACACCTATCAAGGTTGAAGAAAAAGCCTTTCAAGCTCAATACTCATCAAGTGGAGGTGAACGTGGAGGATTCAGAGGACGATCACGTGGAAGAGGTTTCGGTAGAGGCAGAGGAAGAGGAAGAAGCAACTCTCAGCTGCAATGTGATCACTGCAAACGGTTTGGGCATGTCAAGAATGATTGTTGGTTCAAAGATCAACAGTTAAATTGGGTTGGTGAAGGAGACGAGACAAGAAAAGATGAAGAAGAGAAATTGTTTGTTCTATGTGCAGGTCACACTGAAAATGATGTGTGGTTTGTTGATAGCGGGTGCTCTAATCATATGACGAACAAGAAAGTATCATTCGATATGCTTGATGATGCACAAAAGATGATAGTACGAATGGGCAACAAGACATCCTTACAAGTTGAAGGCAGAGGTACAGTGAAGGTAGAGTCAGATGATGGAAGAATGAAATCCTTGCAAAGTGTTCAATATGTGCCAGACTTGGGGTACAACTTGCTTAGTGTTGGGCAAATGATGAGGGCCGGATATGCAATTCATTTTGAAGATACAACATGTGTGATCAGTAAGGATAAGAAGGTTTTGATTACCATTGAAATCATTGAAAATAACATGTTCCCACTCGATTTTTCAAAGCTTCAGAGCGTAGCACTTGCTGCAAAAGGTGAAGACATGTCAAGAGTGTGGCACTTACGGTATGGGCACTTGAATCAACAGGGTCTGCAACTTCTCTCTAATAAATGTATGGTGCATGGGTTACCAGACATCAAGAATATGGATATGTGTGAAGGATGTATTTATGGAAAACAACACAGGAAGTCGTTTCCCACTGCCGGTGCGCAAAGAGCTCAAAGCCCACTTGGTCTGGTCCATGCAGATTTATGTGGAACCATGCAAAACAAATCACAGATGATTATACAAGGATGAGTTGGGTTTATTTCTTGGAAAACAAAGGAGAAACCTTCTCCAAATTCAAGCTATTCAAGGCGAAAGTAGAAAAGCAAGGTGAATGCAACATCAAAACACTAAGAACAGACAATGGAGGAGAGTTTACATCAAAGGAATTCACTTTGTTCTGTGAAGAAAATGGAGTACATAGAGAGCTCACGACAACCTACACACCGGAGCAAAACGGAGTCGCGGAACGTAAAAATAGAACTGTGCAAGAGATGGCACATAGCATGTTGAAAGAGAAAGAGTTGCCAAATAAATTTTGGGCTGAGGCTGTTGCAACCTCAGTATATTTGCTAAATCTATCCCCAACTAAAGCAGTGATGAACATGACTCCATTCGAGGCTTGGACTGGAATTAAGCCATCGGTAAGACACTTATGTGTTTTTGGTTCAATCGCATATGCTTTGATCCCATCTCAGGTACGAAGGAAATGGGATGACAAATCCACCAAATGCATCTTTGTTGGTTATTCAATACAGTCCAAGGCATACAGGTTATATGATCCACAGCAAGAGAAAATAATTACAAGAAGGGATGTGGTTGTAAATGAAAAAGAGAAATGGTGTTGGAAAGATGAAAGTCAAGCCCACGTGGAAAGCACTATACCAATACAAGTAACCTCCGACAACGACTCTATGGAACAACAAGATCAGTCAACAATCATTTCAACACCCAGCACACCATCAACATCAAGTGTGCAACCAAACTCGAACTCGGAAACAGATTCATCAGCAGAGCGCACTGGTCCACGAGGCTACAGATCCTTAGCGGATGTGTATGCTTCATGTCAATATGCTCTTGTTGCCACAGACCCACTCATGTATACTGATGCAGCAAGAAAACAAGAATGGCAGCAAGCCATGGAAGAAGAGATATCTTCAATTAACAAGAATGGAACATGGCAGTTGGAAGATCTACCAGATGGAAAGAAAGCTCTTGGCCTAAAGTGGGTTTTCAAAACGAAGTATGGTGCAGATGGTAAGGTGGTTAAGCATAAAGCAAGGCTTGTTGTAAAGGGATACGAACAACAACAAGGTGTGGATTTTGAAGAAACTTTCGCACCTGTGGCAAGATTTGAAACGGTCCGAGTGATTCTTGCATTAGCAGCTCAAAAGCAATGGATGGTGTATCAGTTTGATGTGAAGTCAGCGTTCCTTAATGGAGAACTTTTGGAGGAAGTATACGTTGATCAACCAGAAGGTTTCATTGCCAAGGGTGAAGAAAAGAAAGTGTACAAGCTGCATAAAGCTCTTTATGGCCTTAAACAGGCGCCACGTGCGTGGTATAGCAGACTAGATAGCCATCTTAAGAGAAAGGGGTTTGATCGAAGTGAAACTGAACCAACCCTGTACACAAAAACAAAAACAGGTGCTGCACTTGACTTTCTTATTGTGTGTGTATATGTAGATGATATCATCTATACTAGCTCCTCTAGTGCAATGATTGAAGAATTCAAGGTCCAGATGAAAGAGGAGTTTGAAATGAGCGACATGGGTCTTTTGCACTACTTTCTGGGACTAGAAGTACATCAAACCAGAGACGGAATCTTTATTAGTCAAGCAAAATATGCAAAAGAGCTTCTGGTAAGAATGGGAATGAAAAACTGCAGCACGGTAGAAACTCCAATGAATGTTAATGAGAAGCTAAGTCTGGAGGATGGAGAAGAAAAAGTTGACCCAACAAGGTTCAGAAGTATGGTTGGTGGACTGATATATCTGACCCATACAAGACCTGACATCGCATTTGCGGTTGGAATGATATCAAGGTTTATGCATCAACCATCCACAATCCATTTTGGATCTGCAAAAAGAATTCTAAGATACGTGGCTGGAACAACAGAATACGGATTGTGGTACACACAAGTGGAAAGAGGTGGGCTAGTAGGTTTCTCAGACAGTGATTGGGCTAGCTGTGTGGATGATAGAAAGAGTATATCAGCAAGTGTGTTCATGTTTGGCACAACTGCCATCACCTGGAGCTCCAAGAAGCAGAGTATCATTGCACTCTCAAGTACAGAGGCTGAGTATGTAGCAGTAACTTCTGCAGCATGTCAAGCAGTATGGATCAGATCACTTTTGAGGGAACTACATGAAGTACAACACCAAGCAACCGATGTCTTATGTGATAATCAATCTGCAATTTTCATGGCTAAGAACCCAGCTTTACATAGCAGAACCAAGCATATTGACACTCGCTTTCATTTCATTCGCAAGCTAATAACAGATGGTGAAATTTGTGTTAAGTATTGTAGCACTCATGAACAACCAGCCGATCTTCTAACAAAGGCTCTGCCTACTGCAAAGTTCATGTATTTCAGGAACAAGTTAGGAGTATGCAAATTTGAATCAAGGGGGAGTGTTAGAAGTTGATTCAAAATTTGAATGAGTGTGATACTGACCTGGTCTAAGGCAGTAATTTTAGGAGTCATTTAGTTCTTGAATAAGTTCCCGTTTTTTTTGCTCTAGTTGTTATGCCTATTCAAGAGTATAAATAGGAAGCTTTGTTTTATGTATTGCTTATCAACGCAGATCAATAAAATCACACTCTTTTTCTGCATACGTATTCCAACACTTTAGGTGTTTCACAATCCATGGTGTGGAACCTGTATGGTTCTGAGAGAGATACGACAACAAATTTGTAGTGGTTTTGATCGTCATTGTTGGTTAGATGGTGGAGATGTATCTTGGCAAACGCAGGGGTTGTTATTACCGAGTGCCATTGCTTGCAAACAGACATGAAACGGCATAGAGATTTGGCCGGTAGCCTCGGTAGTATGTTGAACAATGGGGTCGTTATTAACGAGTACCATTGCTTGCAAACAGACATGAAACGGCGTAGAGATTTGAACGGCAGCCTCTGTTGAACAATAGTATCTCCGTCCGAAGTTCCGTCTTGATGGTATTAGGGAAAGGGTGGGGCTCTGCCATGGTCTATATTGTTTAGCTTCCTATGTATCGATAAGTGTCCTATATATAGATAGCCTCATAGCCATATAGGTAAAGGAGAGGAGATTTTTTTAATAGAAAATTATTATGTATTATCAGGAGTAAACAGGAATAATTATTATGATTTGACTTATTTCT